GCTTTTATTAAATGTGACATTTCATAGTGGTTGCCAGAATTCTTAGGAAATCAGAGAAACTGGAACAATACTTTATTTCCTGCAGTTAATGAGGTTACTGAAAAGTATGTCTTTTGGAAATAGCAGCTAAATCATTTCCCAACAATCAAGAAACAATGATCTCAGGATTAAGTTACACTCTGTGTTGTTGTAACTCCTACTAACTTTGTAAACATGTCCATGCAGTTTTCAGGGCAAAAGTGTAGAAATGATTTGCCAGAATGTCACATCCTGGGATTTTCTTCAACTGCCCAATTTAGAGCCCTGGGATTCTTTAGTGGTCTCCCACGCACGCCCACCCACGTATTTGCTGGGTCTGACCCTGCTGAGGTTCCCAGCCAAGACATGGTCGGCCAGGTCCTTTCGCAATTCTTCCCTCTGTGGGAGAGACAGCCAGCTTGGCAAGCATTGTGGCTGATTAATTGGCACAGTTTGCAGGGCGTTTTGATACCGTTTGCATTCTCTACACAACTGGAAACGGGTATTGGTGGGAAATCTCAGCAGGGTTTAAGACGTGGCCAACCCAGCCTGGACTTGGAAGCTAAGTAGTGTTAGATTAATGCTTGGTTGGGGAGGAGAACCCTAAGGGTCCAAGGTAGATTGGAATCATGAAAAAATCCTGAAAAAAAGTAATGGTGAACCACTTCCTGAAAAAGTAATGCCAACTTTTAACAACTAAATCTGAAAAAGTGAATTATTTCCCTGTTGTGGCCAAGAACACTGCATGAATGTGTCCCGAGGTCACTAGGAGTTGAGCACAGACATTACAACAGGGTCAGTTGACCTTGGCTGATCTGAGAAAGCTAAGTAGGGTCAGATCCAGGGAGCGCCTGGCTATATGGTGGCTACAGGCCAGACTCGGACTTCATAAAACAGACACAAACATTCTAGCAGAAGGTATTGTTGCCAAGAGCGCAGAACGATCGCAGCTCAGTTTAAAAAATATATTTTCCTTATATGAAAGCTCTACAGCAGCAGGAATCTTATCCTCAGTGACTTGGTGCTTGATAATTGACTGTTAAATACTCAATGTGGGGTCTTCCCCCCCCCACTCCTCAAAATGTAGGAATGGTCCTGGGGTCAATGTATCCTGAGCCCTTATGCAAAATTACTAACTTTGTGGTGATGTCACTCTCTTGGGGGGGGTTTAAAGGGGGATTAGACGCATATTTGGAGGACAAATCTATCAAAGGCTAGAACTCTTGAAGAAGACTCCATGTTACCTCTGGGGTAGGAGCAGATGCCACCAAATATCACTTGCAGGGGGACAGGGGTAGGACAGGGGAACATCTCCATCTCCTACCAGGCAGGTCCCTGAAGGCATCTGGTAGGTGGCCATGAGAAAACAACCCTGAACTAGGATGAACCTTGGCCAGATCGAACAGAGTTAGTCTTAGGTTCTAAAGTTTTGATAACTAGTTATGGTTATTGGTTTGGAAGGCATTGTAGCTATCACTCCGCCTTCTCTGCTGCACAGCCAATGTTGTGGAATGGGGACCCTTTTACAGAGAGAGAGAGAGGGAGAGCGAGAGAGTTATTTTAGTCTCACTAGTATCAAGGCTTGGGTAAAATAAGATCTCAAGGGACAGATTAACTCCTTAAATCTCCCTGAAAGGATTCTCATTTATCCAAGCTCATTTAGAAGGTGGGTCAGGCTCTATTTAAAAGTAAAATAGCCTTTCCTGATAACCAGGACCCAGGGGAAGACAGGAATCCTAAGATTATCGATCCTGAAAGTGTGTGACCTGGAAATATTTATGGATTCTTGCTTCTTTTTGTGGTTTTCTGGGGTCTCGGCAGCTATCAAATGCTCCTGGAGGCTCTAAATTGAGGGGGGTTTGGTTAACGTATTTAAAGGCCTTTCCATGCTGTGGAGTTGAAGCAATCTTCTCCCCATCCTTAAGTTGGCAGAAAAATATGTGTCCCTATTTTCAATCCCTGTCCTTTACTGCCTTGTTCCCAGTCACTACCTGCCCCTCCAAGCTAATAGGGGAGAAAACCCCACTGGGACACCGACACAGGTAAAGGCGATTTAAGTCGGTCTCCCTCCTGAGCTGGGGATGAGATGAAGACAACTTTGATGGAGGACAGCAAACCAAGAGGTTTCCAGATCATGTTTGTGCACAAATGATGGCCAAGTGGCATCATGGTCTATGGTTCTTATTAAAGAGTCCACAACCATGTGTCAAACCGAGTCCTGGCCAAACTGAGCATGAATGGGGTTCTTCTATGGGAAAAGAAAATCAGCAATGGTGAATGGACTAAGTTCTTCTCATCAACATCATAGCTTTCTGTGCATACAGAGGAATTTCTTTTAGTGGTGTGGAATTATCCCAACCAAAGTCATCTCTGTATAAAGTGACCCAGCAGTTGTTCTTACTCTGAAGAGACTAGAAGCATCTTCAGAAAGTCCTCCTTCGATAAAGCTATTATGCTTAGGAATGTGTTGTTCTCCAGAGTGATGAAGGCACATCCTTTCTGGGATCAAGCCTTGCCCTGGTTTGACTTCTCCCCTAGTATAGTGAATTCCTCTTTGCCGTATCTCAGATCTACTGCCCCCCTCATTTTTCTTGGTCAAACTCCTGCCAAGTTTACCCTGAAATATGCCCCTTTCATCTAAAGACGGGGTCACATGGCCTAGTTGTCTGCATGTTTACTCAGCTGAATGTTGGATCTGTCTCTAGTGGGGCATGTTGCCTCCAGAGCTAATCTATCACTGGCTATTCTATCAGTGGTGAAGAACGGGTGGTGGCCAAGTCATCCAGGGAAGCTGTCATCTGATAGGACTATCCAAGAGGAAAACTGCATGTTCATGAGCTGGTCCAAACATAAATCTTTTTCTTTGTGCTACAGCTTTGGGCCACCTCCTAATATGGGGTTCTGTGTCAAGACCTGTTGAGTCACCAACCACTTCAAAGAGGCAAAACTAAAAAAACATCCAGAGCAGGAGTGGGGTGCATTTAGACCGCCCTTTGGAGAAAAATTGTTTTGGGGTTTTCTCTGTTTTTTGGGTTGTGTTACACCTATTCTAGGGCTAATGCTACAGTTTTGATATCTTCCTGTCTATAAATAACCTAAATAACAAAACACGTGTCTTCCATGAGATGGTGGTTAACTGCAGCCAGTTTTCAGCCATCATTGCCAGGACTAAAAAGGAGGTTTAACCACAGGATCTACAACCAAATCTGGGGTGTAATGTTACCATAACGAAACGGCATTATTCTGGCAGGCTGTGCCTGTTCTTATGACTAAAGACAGAGTTAGAAAACCTGTCCTTATTGTCGATGTGGTTCCTTTCTTCCCTTTGAGGAAGCCTGAAGGTGAAATGTTTGAATTGGGACTGAAATTGTTTGAAATTGGCACTCACGCGGTTCTACACACAACCAAGAGGCTGGACTGTAAGGATGGCCAGCTTTCTGATGGACTCTCAGGCCTGTCTGAATGATGGGCAACTGTCGTGTCATCCAAGGTCATTTGGTTCCCTGAAAGAGACATGCAAGTGGACTTTACAGAAAAACAAAAGGAGGAGTGTGCATTGTGGGGAGGGCAAAAAAGTCAAGACAGCAAGTTCGATTGTGCAGTCATGGTTATCACCTTGATTTTTGGATTCTTCTCCCCCGCCCCAAATACCTCCATAGACACCCCTGGTGTAGAGTGAAGTGTTGGAGATGGCTTGGGCAAGGCTAGGCAGAACAGCTGTTATGGAGCTATGCAAAAATAAGAATATCAACACAAATGCATTTTGATAATATCAAAAGTGTGCATATCAGTCACCATTGCCCTTGAATGTGCGTGGATGTCTACTCTTTGAGGACTTTAACCCTCGTTCACTCTTTTGTGATCTTTGAGTTAGCTAATGAAGTGTTAATGAAGTCTTTTTTTGAACTTTGACCATCTGGCAGACGGTACAGGATAATAAAAACAAGGACAAATAGGCTGAAGAACAGCTTTTATCCCAGAGCTGCAACTATATTGAACTCTACTGTGTAGCGCAATATTAATGTAACATCAGGGGTTGTGCGATGGTGAATAGAATGTGAAGGATGTGTGTTTTTATATTTATAAGGTGCACTGGGGATGGCCTTTAATTTCATTGTATGAGGTACAATGACAATAAAGTTTACAAACAAATAAAGTATAATAAAGTAATAAAGTGAGTCACGCTGACTCACACCACAGACTAAGCCACGATGTGTGACTGTCACAGTTTGTAAACCATGGTTTATACTTTTGGATGTTGTGCTGACCCAGACAATGACTTGGGTCCAGTGCTCTCTCAATCCAACTTCACAGGGCGGTTATTGTCGGGATAGAACTTCTGGCCCACCATCGGCTGGTGGTCTTCAAAAGAAAGAAGGTTCCCCACTCTGGGGTGGCATGGGTGCAAGGGAGGTTTTCCACCTCTGATGAAATTTGACAGCGTGGCCAAATCCCAGAAAGTCTGGCAGCTGAGTGACCCCATGACCCCAAAGACGATATGATTTTGAGGTGGATGAAGATGGTGACTTACGGAGGGAAGGTGATTGGTTTGGTTGCGACACTAACACCACCTTGGTAATAGGATCAAAAGAGATGTTTGACATATTTTCCTTCTACCCAGCGTCCTGTAGGTAAAATACTGTTTTCCATTATAATAAAATAAGCTGCTAGTATAGGGAAAAAATGGGAGAAAAAACACTGAATTCTTCTCCAGCCTACTCTGATGTTACTCTTGTCTTTCTTTTCCAGCTTCATTCTTCCCTTCTTTTCTCTTCCTTTCGTTCTCTCTTTTGACTGTGAAGAGCAAGTTGATGGCAGCAGATGGACCCGAAGATTTCTGGGCCTGGTCCTTCAGGAACTGAAGCTCTGTGAGCTGTGCCTTCTCCCATTTCCCTTCCTTGCCTCTTCCACCACATCATTTGCTAAGTCCACAACAACAACATGGTACTAGTTTGGTTGGGCTTCCAGCTCCGGCTTTCCAACCACCCCAGGTGGGCCTACTGTAGAGGGCCTCCTTGGTGGGCCCTTCTCTTCTGGCCCTTGCTTCTTTGCCTTCCTCTCAGTATCCACGCCGCTACCTTCAAAGTTGGTGTGATGGGTCCCTGGAACTGTGACTCCATCTATGCCAGAGCCTACCCTGATGCAGCAGCTAAATTGGCTATTACCCAGATCAACAAGGACCCAACCTTAAACAAGGGATATTGGTTTGATTATGTCCTCCTCAATGAAGACTGCCAGACATCAAAGGCCCTTGTGGGTTTTGTCAGCGCACAACATTATGCCTCTGGTTTTGTAGGTCCAGTTAACCCAGCAACCTGTCAGGCAGCGGGGTTGCTGGGCAAAACATGGAACAAGCCCATTTTCTCCTGGGCTTGCCTGACTGATGATGCTGAGGTTGAACGTTATGGCACTTTTGTCCGGCTATTACCACAGGCCTCTGCTGTGCTCTACACTGTGCTTAAGTACTTCCAATGGGCTCATGTGGCTGTGATCACCTCTGAGGAAGACCTCTGGGTAGAAGCGGGACAAGCTCTAGCAGACTCATTGCGGAACTTTGGCCTGCCCGTCACTATAGTGACCACCATGGAAGATGAACCTGGTGGGGTGGAGGATGCCCTCCAAAAGATAAAGAAGGCCCACAACGTACGAGGTATGGTTGCGATGGGCAGATGTGCCTCATGAAGGGGGAGAGATCTAACATAAGTTAGAAAGATATGGAGTCTGTCTCTCTTCTGAGTAAAGGGCTACAGGTCAGCTTATGGTTTCTTCTGAGATGCAGAAGCCCAACATGTTTGTTTCTTCACTTCTGGCTTGACTTGGACTGTTCAAGCTCCTCATTTACTCAAAAAACTATCACAGAAAGAAGATGGAAACCTACTTTTCCTTAATCCCAAGCTACAGGAAGACCAATTCTAGTAGAACATTAAGGAAAAAAAACCCTTCTTCTTAGTAAGGGAAGTTGGACAATGGAACCACTGAGCTAGAAAGTCATGGGTTCCCCTTTGTTGGAAGCCTTCAAACAGAGAATGAACAGCCACCTGTGATTTGAATTTCAAGACTGACGGGGTTGACATTGGTGGCTGCAGGTTCCCTTCTAACTCTGGGATTCTATAAAAGTTGGTTTATATGACAAGAAGCGTGCTATGTGACTCATTCACATGTTTAAGCAGCTTCTTTGTCAGTCAAGGAAGCCTATCTCTTGCCCAGTGCAGGAATCCAAATTCAAACATCCCCTAGAGGTGGCTGTCTGGCCTTCGTTTCAACTTTACCAGTGAAGGGGAACCCGTCCCACTCTCAGGTTCCATAGTTCCATTGCTAACCTGACTTGCTGTTAGGACGGTTCTCATGTTCCATCTGTATTTGCCCTCAGCTATTTTCAAACCATTATTCTGTGTTCTGCACTCTGGAAAGATGGAGAAGAGATCTTGGCCTTCTTCTCTGTGGCATCCTTTCAGTGCTGCTTATCTCTCTTCCATTCTGAAGACTTTGTTGTTTAGTCGTTAAGTCGTGTCCGACTCTTCGTGACCCCATGAACCATATTGCGCCAGGCCTTCCTGTCCTTCACTGCCTCCCTGAGTTTGCTCAGTTTCATGCTCAATTCTGAAGACTACAAAACACTTAATGTCCCCACATCTCAACTCCTAAGACTTGGTTCCCAGCCTAGGTGCCCTTTTCTTGATTCCTTCCCATTTTTCTGCCTCTTCCTTTGGCACAGGTGAAGTATCTATTTATATCAATGTTTCCCAACCTTGGGAACTTTAAGATGGGTGGATTTCAACTCTCAGAATTTCCCAGGGGAAATCCACCCATCTTGAAGTTCTCAAGGTTGAGAAACACTGATTTGTATGTATGTGACTCTCCTTCATTCTCCTTTTCTAGAAGGGGATGGGGTCCTCATTGGGCAAGACCATTATGAAGGGAGAAAGCCACCAGGGCTGTCTGCAAGTGAGATCAAAAAAGTCAAGATGGCAGTCTTGACCACATGATGGAAGCCAGGAGTGTTGCACATAATAAAATGCAGGGCTCCTATCATGCAAGCACAGCCCCATCTTGACTTTGTTGACCCACCCTCTGCAAACACCCTTGAGAAAGTGTATAAAAAAGGAGAAAGGAGAAATTCTAGGTTGAAATGATTTTTTTTTTAATTTAAAAGGGGAGCTAGCATAGGATCTTCCCCACTTTCACTGCTTGTTGGTCAAGAAACAGTCTGCTCTGTCTTAAAACTATAAAAGAGATGGAGTGCAGGGTTATTCATAAATATAGCAAGTGCATGATTTTAATTCGGCGAAGTTTGTCTATCCCCTCCGCCCTGCTGTTTATGTAGGGGCTCAATTCTGATGCATACCTCATGTGGATACTTCCTTTGTTTATGAACCTTGAAGTTTGAGAAGTTGTGGAATGAACTTATGATTTATGTGCAGCTACAGAGAGGATGCATGTATTTATTTATTTAAAAAGTTTATATAGCCGCCTGTATTATAACCACAACCCTGGGCAACTGACAAGTCAATAAAAACATCAAAATCCCCCAAACAATCAAAATAAAACGCTCAATAAAATTCAAGAAAAGCTCAATAGAAACTCAAGAAAAGCTCAATAGAAACTCAAGAAAAGCTCAAGAAAAGCTCAATAGAAACTCAATGAAAACTCATGGACCCTGGGGCAACACTCTGCCACACGTGGTTTGGGCTCCAGCCTCATCCTACCACAGTGCTTGTGGGAAGAGCCAGCAATTTAAGCTCTTCCAGAAGGCAAGGAGGGTGGGGGTCTTTCAGATCTCTGGCGGAAGGGTGTTCCATAGGGCAGAGGCCATTATGGAGAAGGCACACTTCCTAGGTCCCACTCGACGAGAGCACACAGGTGCATGTGGAAGGCTCCTCCTAAGAGAAAAGAGTGCTTAAGAAGGAAGGCTATTCTACATCAGGCTGTTGCTCCTCCTAGCTCAAGAGCATAGCATCGGAAATTAGGAAGGCGCCTCAGAGGTCCTCTAGTCCAACCTTCTGCTCAATGACCTCTCTCCCATCTGGGCAACACAGGCCTGTGGCTTGGCTGCTACCCCAGTTTGCAGTCCATGCCGCCTCCAAGAGTCCTGGACACATCCAGAGAGCTTTCTTGGAAGCAGTATGAAGATGGTTTACTGTTGCCTTTTTCTGAGATGTGTTTCGACTTCCCAGTCTAGCCTAGAACTCTGGGGTGCCCTGGTGGTCATCATCCAAGTACTAGCCAATGTCACCCAGGCTGCTTAGGGTACTTGCAGCCGACAGTGAGGGGCATGAAGGGGGCAGACTGCCTTCTTTTCTTGGGCGCAAAAATACATGACAGTGGAGGGTCTGCTGAAGAGGCAAAGAGGAGGTGACTCTTAGGAAGGCAGGCAAGAACGAACTTCAGCAAGGTCTTGAAAGGCACGTCAGTGCCCACAGAAAGAAATACTACTAATAAACTTCTCTTCTTAAGAAAGTATTGCCCTTTCGAAAACAGCTTTACATCCTTACAGGCAGATCTTTAGAAAGCATGCCAGTTTAAATCATAATCATAATCATAATCACAATCACAGGCAGGTGGATGTTAGGGTTGATTCTTGTTGACATATGCAGGAAACGCGGGAAGATATCTCTGCCTCTTCCTGCTAGATGGACGATGTCTTTGTCTTGGCCAAAGTATTTTAGAGGTTTCCCACAGGGGAAAGGATGGGGCAGACCCCCAAATAATGCTTTTCTCGTCCCTGAGATCCAATTATTTGGGGAGGCCTCCTCCTTCCTTCTAGAAGCCAGAAGCTGGAAGTTGTTGCTTGGGGGCAATGACAAAATGCCTATCAGGTGCATATCCACCCGAGTCACTCTGTGGTGAGATGGGCGGTGACAAATTTGAAATATAAAATAAACAAACAGATAAATAAATGAACATCAGGACTTCACTGAGATCCAGATCTCTGTCTGGTGGCATCTCAGAGCTTGAAAGGAACCTGAGATGGGTTTTGGAACCTGAGTTTGCATGGAATCAACATTCTGTGCCAGGGTTTCTCATGGGCTAGCTGGGGAATTCTGGGAGTTGAAGTCCACCCATCTTAAAGCTGCCAAGGTTGAGAAACACTGTTCTGTGCTGAGACCCTGAGATGGTTGCTCTCAGCGTGAACACGGTGGCCTCATTTCTTTATTATTCCCAAAGATTCAGATTCAGCTTTGCTAAACTCTCTGTTCTCTTAACCTTCTCACTCTCCCCACTTTTTTTTCTCGGCCCAATCTTCCTCCTTCTCCTTCTCCTTCTCCTTCATTTCCTATCCAGCGGTCATCATGTGTATGCACTCTGTCCTGCTGGGTGGGGAAGAGCAGCGTCTCCTGTTGGAGAAGGCCGAAGAGATGGACATGACAGAAGGGACTTACATTTTCATCCCCTACGATGCCCTGACCTACAGCATGCCCTACCAGAAGGAGGTCTACACAGTGCTGGATGACAACATCAAATTGCGCCAGGCATATGACGCCGTGCTTATGGTCACCATTGATTCCCCAGAAGTCTCCTTCCGGCAGGCCTTTGGAGAGGCTCAAGAGAAGAGAGAGATCCCTGGCCACCTCAGTGCAGACAAGGTGCCTGAGAAAGGAGGAAATGGTGCTGGGATGGTGGGAAGAAGGACAGAACTGTGGGCGTTAGGCTGTGCAAAAAACGTCGTTCTTAGTTATGAAATCTGGTACAGAATTCAGATTCCATTAAGGTTAAGATTCTAAGCTGGAAGCAAGCAAAGAGAGATTTTTAGCCTGCAGTCTTGTGAGCATGACTTCAAAGGTGTCTTCAGACAGAAGGCTGAACAGTGCCTCTATGCTTGCAGAGCAAGCAAAATGCATGAGGCAAAGCAAATCCTTCATTTGTGTAATTTGTACAGAATTTGGGCTTAGCTGTTTTTCCTCCTCTCTTCAGGCCCATCCTCTGTTTGGCACCATTTTTAACTCCATCTACTTCCTGGCCAAAGCTGTGGAAAACGCTCGTCTAGCTGCCAAGAGGGTGGTGGGGACCAGTGTGGCTGACCACGCCAAGAACTTTGAGCTGGAAGGGTTTAGCCAGACGGTGTCAGCGGACGGAAACAGAGGCGCTGGGCTCCCTTACGTCATCTTGGACACGGATGGAAGAAGCAACCATCTTCAGCCCACCTACAAAGTAGACATGGCTGCAGGCATCTTGAACTACATGGGACATGCCATCCACTGGCCTCACCATACCAGCCCAGCTTCGGACTCCAGCTGTTGGTTCAACCCTGCCACCGTTTGTACTGGGGGTGAGTGTGGAAGCAAAGTGGGAACGGATGGGTTGTAGCTACCAAAAAGTGCAGCTCCCAGGTTGTTGTGGCTCCATAATCCACCACTGAAAATGGATTGCAATGCTTAACCCAGTTGGCAACAGCAAAGATGGGCCTCAGGCTAAAGAAAATGACAAGAGTTTTTCTTCTTCCTCCTTCCAGGTGTGGATGTTGGTTTCGTTTTCCTCTTCTTCCTGATGGTTATTGGCTTGTTCCTGGGTGGATCTGCTCTGGCTTACTATCTTCGGTGAGTTCCACATAAACCGCTCTCATGATTCTCCACTCTAGATTGGCTATTGGCAGTCATTCTGGACAGCTTCGCTTACGGGTGAGCATTTTTAACTTCTGACGTTTCAGCCGCTCTTGCCTCGTTTTTCACAGACGCCGGTTTCTGCATGCCCAGCTAATGAAGGGACCCAACAAGATTGTCCTGACCACAGACGACTTGACTTTCATCAATGGCCAGAACAGCAGGAAGGTGAGCAAGGTTTTATGCAATAGCCTTGAGGAGAATACAAGCTACTGGAAACAGGAAGTGTGATTGTGGAGGTAAAGCACTCCAAAGTCAGGGGACGACAAAGCGAATAATAGCTGACTCAGATCAATGCAATACAAAGGGTTGTGTTAGTGGCCTTGCCTCATTGGTAAAGATGGCCAAGTTTGGGACTATCAAGATGTAGCTATCCACCAGAAGTTATGTCCACAGGTCAAAGTAATCCCCTTTCTTGTTCTTAAATGTTGCTCAATAAAATTATTAGTTCAGAATGTTCTTTAGTTTACAATGAGCTGTCCTCTTCCTCTCCCAGAAGATGGATGACAGCCACTCCAGTCTTGCGGATAAGAGCTCGTTGGATATGAAAAGCTTCAGAAGTGAGACGGCTGATCTGGAAAACTCCAACTTAGCTGTGGTTGAGGTGAACACATGTTCCTCCCTGTGCTGTGTCTGGCCCCACATTCTTCTAGCCTTATGAGGGTGGGGGAGGGCTTTCAGGAGAGAGCTTGAGGGACCCTCTGATGTAAAGCTGTTTCCTCCAAAGGTTGGGGTCACTGCTTGTTCCCCTGCCCAGCAGCCTACTGTGGGACAGAGCCAGCCCTGATATCAACTGTGGTAATACCAAGAAGGCACAGATCTTGAGCTTGCCATCTTTAATGGGAAAGTCATAGAGGATTTGGGTTTGAGCTCCTGGTTGCTCCACTGAGTTGCCATAGAGCTTGGTCCTTCCCTCTTTGTTATTTAACATCTATATGAAACCACTTGGTTAGGTTATCCATCAGTGTGGAGTGAAGCGTCATCAATATACCAAAGACGCTCGATTGTACATTGCCACCATGGCTGAACTAGAGATGCTGTGGAATTTTAGGACCATGTCTAAAGGCTGCCAGGGACTGGATGGGCAGAAGCAAGCTTGGATTAAAGCCCAAGTTGGAGTGGCTATTTGTGTCTAACATTCTGGACTCTTCAGAAGCTTCAGCTATGGTGGTAGTTCTAGATGAGGTCATGCTTCCCTGAAGATGCTGGTCCACAACTTGGAGGTCCCTGGATTCATGGTTGCTGCTGGAACAGCAAGTGGAAACCATCTCCAAGGGGGCCTTTGCCCAGCTATGGTTGGTGTACCAGTTTCAGCCCTAGTTTTAGCCCTTGCAACACTAACTCCCACCCTGACCACCAGGCATTTGGATTATTGCAACATGTTCTAGGTGAGGCTGTCTTTGACTTATTTTATGGGTTGTTATGCTATATTTTGATTTTTCTTGTTCACTGCCTGAAGTCTCTTAAGACTGGATGGTATGCAAAAATTGTAAATAGATATAATAAATAAATACATGGGTGTGATTATGAAGCCACCAGGAAGCAAGCTTGATTCAACAGTGACTTCACTTTTCATTCCATTATGGGGGTATCAACAACCAGAAGACTGTCTCCCATCTGCCCTCACTGTTTGGAGGGGTCAGTTAGAACATCCTCTCTCCACCACTTCCCTGTCTATTTACCTACCTGTCACTCAAAATCAGTTTATACGATATGGCATTAGAAAATCTTCAAGGCCACATGGATTATTGGAGAGAGGTGATCCTGCATGAATCCAAATCAAAGTCATAGAAGACCTGAGAACATAAGAACATTAGCCGTGGCATGCTGGATTGAACCCCTGGCTCATCTAGTCCAGCAGTCTGTTCTCACAGTGGCCAGCCAACTATACAAGGAAGCCCACTAGTCTCCCTGCAGATGGTCTTCAGAGGCTGTCCCACTGCCATCGAGGCTAATAGCCATTGATCCCCAGGGCTTCCATGAATCGGTCCAACCTTAAAGTAGAGGGACACTCACTTCCATTCCCTTCTTGTTGGAGAGTAACAAGACCATCTTCCCTCCTTTTCTCCTTCTGTGGACCCTGCTGGCTTTGCTTTGCCTCCCTGGACCACACACCTGCCCTCTCTGGGTTGTAAATGTTAACGCAATTCCTCTTGTTTCCTTTTAAAATTCCCCTCCCTCTGCCTCTTCCTTTGCTGGCTCTTTCATGACATGGAGCAGGTGTCTGCTTTCCTTCTTTCTTGCTTCTTCAGAGCACCGTAGGAGATTGAGGGTAACCATTTTTGCTCTTCCTTGTCTCCCCTGGCCTTTAGGGTGACTGGGTGTGGCTGAAAAAAATCCCAGGAGGAAAGAACACTGAAATCAAACCAGCCACCAAAATGATTTTTTGCAAGGTGAGTTCTGGATATCTTTCATTCAAAGGTGAGCAGATAGAGGGTTAGGGTTAGGGTTAGGGTTAGGGTTAGGGGGTAGTGGTGGGGAGAGATGGAATAGGTAATAATTCCTGGTTGATATATCAATGTGGCTTCTGGGGTTATTCAGCCAAGGAATTTCAGCCAGTAGAAAGCAGTTTCCCTGCACTTCTTTTCAGCTGGGCTCTCTACGCTGAGTTACAGATTTTGAGCAATCAGCTGGGGGAAATGGTGCAGAATTGCCCTGATTTCTGTGACCAGCCCTCTGGGCTTCACCCCACAGCTGGGTTGGGGCATTCTCCTCACTGCCCTTGAGTCAGTAGCAAACATGGCCTGCACCAACCTTGCTGTCTTTGCCATTGCTGACCCCTTGCCTGCCTCTGTTGTCCTCCAAGGGGACAGCTGATGAAACCTACAAGATTTGGCGCATCTTAAGGCTGTTCTTGGGGAGGGATGGAATAAGGGGGAAAAAACTGCTTGAATTCAGTATCATTAAGGAATGCCTAAAGGCTGTTTTAGTCACGGACTGAGGTTGAGTTATGCAGACCTGAGAGAAAAGATAGGTTGCCAGGACGCTGGTAGTTGGGTGCAAGTAGGGACAAGGCCGTAAGACAGGGTGCAGGAACACTTCCCAGCCATTCCCACCATACTGGGTGAGTGAGGACTCTCACTTCTTTATTCCCTTTGTTCTTCCCCATCTTCAGCTGCGGGACCTGAGGCACGAAAATGTGAACCTTTTCCTGGGCTTCTTCCATGACCGTGGGATTTTTGCTATTGTCTCAGAGCACTGCGCGCGAGGGAGTCTTGAGGATCTTCTCCGCAATGAGGACATGAAGCTGGACTGGATGTTCAAGTCATCGTTGCTGCTGGACCTTATCAAGGTGCCTGGGGAAGAGAGATCTAGCTGTCCTGAGATCCAGCTTAGGAGAAAAATGAGGCTGGGATGAGGGTTATTCACTCATGTTGAGAAAGGAGTTGGCGTCTCTCAATCCTGTATCGTAGGAGGATGACACAGCTAGGGAATGAATGGATCCTTCCTGCAGTAGCCACCAGAAGGGTTGAAGAAAGCTCTCAGTTCTTGTTTTCAACCACCATCATTCAGGGCTGTGGGCATCTGAAGTTCATAAGAATTCAAATTCATCAACAAGGCTTCAGTCTTGGTGAGATCTACCTATCATGACAAGAGATGGTTCTAAGAGGGAGAACCTCTAGAAAGACCCATTGATAGTTAAAAATATTTTTAGGATTACCAGAATGTTCCATTCCTGAGACTATAATTGTATAGTCTTCTCATATAATTGTAAAGATCTCCCTGATCAGAAAGTGCAGGCAGTCCCATTTAGGGACTGCCTCATTTAGCAGCCATTCACAGTTACGAAAGTGATGAAAAAGTAACTTTACAACCAATCCTCTCATTTACAACCTTCACAGGTCTGTAAAGCAAAGGAAAGCTGAAAGATCATAAGCACAGACACAGTTTCACTTAATGACCACTTCACTTAATGACTGAGTTGCCAGTCCTAATTGTGGTCACTAAATGAGGACGACCTGTATTGTGACATTTGCAAGATCCGCTCACCCCTTCTTTTCTCCTCTAGGGGATGAAGTATTTGCATCATCATGAAGTCGCTCATGGCCGGCTGAAGTCTCGGAACTGTGTGGTGGATGGCCGTTTTGTCCTCAAAGTCGCTGATCACGGATACAATGAACTGTTGGAGGCCCAGAAAATTATCCCAGAAATGAAGCCTGAGGGTTAGCAGAGGAAGATGGGAATTAGAAGAGAATTAGATGGGCTGATAAACAGTGTAGGACAGGGTTTCTCAACTCATGCTGGCTGGGGACTTCTGGGAGTTGAAGTCCACACCTCTTAAAGTTCCTGACTTCAGCTCCTAGAATTCTCCAGCTAGCATGCTGGCTGGGGAAATTCTAGGAGTTGAAGTCCATACCTCTTAAAATTCCCAAGGTTGAGAAACACTGGTCTTGGACATAGTTGATAGAAAGATAAGCCATTTCTTGTTAAGCAATCGTGTGTTTATCTTCTGGGTAATCCTACTCAATAATTCTGGGTGATGCTGCTTGTCCAACACTCCTGCTTTGAGTCCAACCAATCATAGCCCATGAAGTTGCCAAATGACAATATGGACAATGTCAGAGTTGAGCCGACAGGAGTCCCTCCCTTTCTGTCTCCATCCCTCCACTTTCTCCAACTCCATCTCTCTCTCTTTATCTTTGGGCTCCTTTGTATATTTGGAAATATGCCCCGAGTTGCGGAGGAGGCTGAATGCTCCAATGCCCAGAAACCTATTATCTGCACATTCAAAGATTTAAAGTCCTCCTGGTTGGGTCCTGTTCATAATTATTTTAAAGGGAAGTTAGAATATTTTTTTTTAACAAGGATCCCATCAGCTTCTCTCAACCATGGACATCTGCTGGGGAAATCCAACAACATCATATGCATCATGAGGTCGTAGCATAAATGACACAAATTGCATCATTTGCGCAATGACTTGTGGCTTGAACTCTGATCACCCAGCTCATTGCCTTTTGGGTGTGTTGAACTAATTCCCATGATACTTAGCCAGTATGGCCAGTGGCTACACCAGCTGGGGATTATGGCAGTTGAAGTCCAACATAGCTTATCACTCCCAGGTTGACGAAAGCTGGTCTACCAGACTGTTGGAAAGGTGAAAAATCTAGGTGAAAAAGAACCTAATTAGGTAGGTAGGTAGATGATAGATAGATAGATAGATAGATAGATAGATAGATAGATAGATAGATAGATAGATAG